CAAGTCCTATTCAAAGAAACTTATCATTTCATCATTTCCTGCTTACAACATTCTTCACAAGTAAATCCTATCATTAACTTGTTTTAAGAATGAGCAGATTCACAGAAAAAGGAAAACAAAATCAATGCCTCCATGTATCTTACCAGCGGGAACAGAAAGGTGAAGCAACTGGACAGAATGCACAGCTGGAGAGTGCTAGCCCTGGGATGCACACCCTCCTGGCATTTGACACCAGGCCTAGTGCCTAAGGAAGAAGTACTCCTTGCACAGAAATTAAGGCAGCAGCAGTCCAGAAATTTAGGGCACAGAAAAACTACAAAGGCAAGCCAGTCAGGAAAGGTCACTCCCTTGGCTAGAGAGTAACAGTGGAGCAGGCATTTCTCTGATATCAGAGCAAACTAATTTGTGTTAAATTTTGTTATGAAGGCTACCCAGAAAGGGAACATTGATCAATATGTACACAGAGACCACAGATGATAATAATGACCTTAATGGTTAAGATACTTGCTCTACCTCACATCTTTGAAGAGTACTTTGAAGATGCATGGTACTTTCAAAATGTGGCATCTAGCCTTTGCAGGCTATTAAGACATATCAAATAGATTTTAAAGAAGCTATTAAACAGAGATGCTTGAGTCTAACAATAATTTGGATAGTAAAATTATCCCTAGATTCTTTTTACCAATGAATTAGCACAAATCAGTTTAAATGGCTTTCATTAATTACTGCAATTTTCAGTGTCTATCCTGTGTGAACAAGTGTTTTTGTCTGTTAAGAATTTTTATTTACCTGTTTTTGCCAGATTTTTACTTCATGCTCTAAGAATTGAGCGAGTGTCTTAGGTCAATATACACTGCAAAAAGATATGTAACTTTCAGCAATTCTAGCAATTTTAGGTTTTCAGTTTATGGGGAAACATTAAAAGGTATATACAGCCAAAAGAAAAAGTAATTTAGATTGGAGTGTTTTTTTTTTAATGTATATCGGGTAAAGATTGATCAGAGAGCCCACACGGATTGCAGGTTCAGCATATGGCTTGTCACTGGTGCTCTGTGACCATAACATTTGGCACTAGCTGATGCCAGTGTAACTGGTGGCAAGAAAATTTCCAGGAGTAGCAGAAACTTCCTGCACTCTTATGTTTACTGAGATAGAGTAATTGATTTTTAGATCAAAATTTCTAGACTTATTTGAGAAAAAAAGGCAGTAAAAAATCAAAATGGCAGAAGAAAAAAAAGGAAACATGGTAAGCCCTGCTCAACTCACCCATATCCTGTTCTCCTTTATTGAAATTCTGGAGTTGCCTATTCATCAGTGAAATCTCTGAGTTGACTGTCAGCATGACAAGTGCTAGCAAAGGAACTATTTCGTGACTGCTACCACTGGGTCATTAGTAACACACAGTGGAACAAATACCAATAAATAGAGAGAGGAGGGTATGAAGGCGCGGTAAAATGCTTCTTTCAGAACAGGAACGGCCTCAATCAGAGTATGAAAGATAAGCTCAAATTTTAAAAAGAAAAAAAATGGAAAGAACTTTCTGAAAGGAAAAGATTTGCAGCAATACAGCTATGTGAAGGAATAGGGCATATTTCAGAAGCTAATTCTGGCCAGCACAATGGTATAGCACACTAAGCTTCTGCCTGTGGTGCCAACAATCTCTTTAGGTACGGGTTTGAATTCTAGCTCTTCCACTTCTGATCCAGCTCTCTACTAATTGCCTGGAAAAGCAGCCAAGGATGGCACATGTTCTTGGGTCCCTACACACGTGGAAGGCCAGGGAGAAGCTCTTGGATCCTGGATCCTGGTTTCGAAATGGCACAGCTCAAGCCACTGCAACCATCTGGGGAGTGAACCACAGATGGAAGATCTCTTACTTAGTCTCTTTATTTCTCTCTGTAACTCTGTTTCTTGATAAAATAAGTATTTCTTTTTAAATATTTAAAAACAAAAAGATGAAGCTGCTAATAATTGGTCGAAGCTATAACTTAGGGTGATACTATTTGCTACAGACCTGTGTCCTGTTGGAGATAAGGAAAGAATTAAATTTGATTGCAACACTCTGAAGGATGGTATCAGGATGGAAGGTAGAGGAGATGACCAGCAGACCTAATAACTATGACTGGGACTGAGTTGACTTGAGTGACAGCTTGTTCACTGGGATTAAGACAAAATAACACACAGTGAATGAATTCCAGGACTCAGTCTAAAGATGCAAAAATGACAGTGTCATTTGATATATGCATGCAAGATGAAATTTTCCATCCTAGACCTTCATTTTGATGAGCTTTCTTCAAATTAAAGAAAGGACACTGATTAGCAAACGATTCATTATATTGTTTGTAGCCAAGTAAGTTCTGCAACTATTCAAATGAACCCTCGTGGTCCTTGAGCTAAAATTAGACATTGCATACTATGATATTGTACCACATTGTTGTGATATTTTCCAGCATTTGGGACCTAGCAATCCCTTTAGAAACAGTCTGAATCATAAGCACTTAAAATGTAAACGACAAGCATCAACTTATTAGGCAAGGCATCAAAAAGATAAATGGTTTGTGAAGGAAAATGTAATTAACAGGTTATAGTTTATATGTTTGCAAAATGATTATGATGCATGAAAACGTTTTTGTCTACTTAATTTTCCTAAGATTGTAGCTTATATTTAAATTAATTAAATGCAAACAGCCTTGTGCGCTAAATAATTTTGTTCTAACAGATCTATGCCGCCAGATCATTGAACTGAAGTTAAAAATAGATTGCCCAGAAGCTTTGGTCCAAGAAATCTCACTGGTCAGGACCTAATGAAGAATGTTGCACAGGGGAGGCTACTGTCCTTGTGGGGAAAGAGTCCTCAAGCCTCAGAGGGCAGACTGAACCTTCTTGTCCAGAGGGAGACTTGCAACTTATCACGGCTTTCATTATGCACAGACAGTAGTTGGCATGACTCTAGAGTCCAGTTGATAGTACATCACCAAGGTAGTGCACAGGAATGATCAATCTGCATTAAAAATGGATAAAACAGTGAATCTCACTCCACCACTTGCTGGATAAATGACTTAGCCTTAGCAAATCTTATTCTTTCATGTATGGAGATAGTAACACTAACTTCATAAGGTAATTCGCTATTTAAAATATGCAATGAAGGGCTGCAAGTACATTACATTTTTAATAAATAATGATCACTTATTTTAAATTTTGTCTCTTAAGATTGTGTCTGTTGTACAGGACAGAGAGTAAACCAGACAAAAGTGGATAATACATTTTATTAATAGTTAAAGCAAACTTTTTTTTTCAGTTAGTGTCAGGGCCAAAACACCTTTGTGTGATTGTGTGGGAACACAGTGACCTCACTGATTGAAAGCTGCATTCTCCAATCTAAGGTGGACCTTAAATCATTATCATCACCAACATTCCACCACTCCAGATCCCACACACTTCACATTCCTGACACGACGACTATTAAACAATAAATAAGAAAGTAGCAAAGTAAGAAAAAGAACTTATCCCCTTCCAACCTACTCACTTAAACTTTAATACTGTGTGTAAGAGCAAATGATATAGTCAACATAATTATATGCACAGCACATGTAGGTATGCAAAAACATGTAAATTATGCCACTTTAAATGCAAATGTATGTACGATCATTTTTATTATCTATGCCACTTGGATATGACCCTCAGGATAACCTCAGTGCAAACTACTGCCCTAGGTACCATTTTTTTAACTGAATCACTGATCTGAGATGTTTTCTAAAAAGGAACTCAGGAATGAAAAAGAAATATGTTTTACGGTTTACATCTGCGTGGGTTAAACCACCTGCTATAATTCTGTAGATTACATTTCTTTTTCTACTTTGTGCTGTTAGTCAGTTTTTATGTGTATATGTTTTCCCTTTCACCATCCCCAACCCCAGATTGCAAGTTCCTTGAAAGAAGGCACTGTGTATTTTAATTCATTCTGTTCTATAACTCTGACAGATGAAGTCTTAAAATCCTTGAAGGGAGGCTCCAATACACAAGTGGGTGAGACCTTTCTGCTCCTCACTGCTTCGTGCTAGAACTTACGCTGATACCCTTTCCTTGAGATACCAGTGATTCTGGTCTCTGCCCACTTACCACTCTGCCTTTGTCTCCTTTCCTTGGCTCAACATGTTCATGGGTGAATTTTATAGGAACAACCTCTCACTTCACTTACATTTCTAAAACTCCCCTCCCTGCATCTAGGCCCCCTAAGTGATCCTCCACAAGTTCTCTTCCCACCTTATGTACTCTCTGCAATTTAATCCCTGTTCAGATCTCCTGTCAACTGGTTTTTAAAATGTTATTTGAAACAATTACATCTAGTAATATGCTGGTCTTTTCTGAGATATTATTGTTCCAATGTGACAGAAAAGACCTATTCACTCCTCAAGGGTACCCTAACCAAGAAAGCTTTCACAAGTGTTACCTACTAATGTTTATATCTCTCTTTGTGATGGAGAGTGGTATATACTTGCAATAGGAAGAAAATGCCAGGCTTAGTACTATACCCAGTGGCTCCTGAAGTTGCTCTGAGGTTTTGCCATCCTCATTTCTACTTTCTCACAATGTTTTGAATTTCCCATTGCATCTGAGAACTCTCCATATCCAGGTTCAAGTTTATTGGCTATTTTATTGCCAGGTACACACCAAAGTTATAGTTCTGTCTGTACCAGACTTGTCAATGGATTATTTGGGGAGGTCTGGGCATACACTAGCTGCACAATTTTTTTTAAGATCCACTGGGAAACAGTCAATTCATTGTTAGGCTATCAAACCATGTCAATAGAGGACCACTCGTGATTGTGTCATCACTTTTTAGGGAAACTGCTCTTTAAGGACAGCTCTATTGTAGATGTCAAAGAGATCCAATGTCTGAGGATTTCCTTTCTGCAAAATCAAAAACCAATGTGATTTTAAACAAAGAAAAAAAGCTATCCAAACACATATTCATTTCTGTTTTTATAAACCTATTCTGTCCCACATGAATATCTAGGAGGCCACTCTCCTCAGACATTATTCAAGTGGCATGAGGGAACACAAGGCTCTATTCCTTTCGACACAGTCCCTTTCCACAATATTGAATGAAACCCTGGGCTTTGGATCTGCACCTGCACCTGCCTACAGCTTCTGATTCCTCTGTACCACGGCTAGGAGACAAGCCATGCAGGAAACAGCTTGCTGGAATTCTCAGTCTGGACTACCTATTTGACTACATTAACAAATCAATATTTCATGTTGTGAAATTCATTCATGATTGATGACTCCATGCTTGGGACAATTGCAGAAGCACAGGAAAAGCTAGATAGATGCCTTCCAAAAACCATCCATCTATCCTATTGGTTTCTGCTTCTAATGTAAACATTTACAGTTCACTAAAAGAAATAAATTAATATATTAATGTTTATGAATTGAAATAAAGATTTTAAAAGAACACTTTCCTATATAAAGGAGCAATTGTTACGTCAAAGTGTCCGTAAGGCCATCCAAAGTGAATGAGTGCCAGTATATGTGAAATTAAAAAGAAAAGAGGGGTGGAAGGGAAGCAGGAGTTGGATAGTCCGCAGAGAAAAGCCTTGCCTTGTTCCCTACTCTGGCATATAGCGCATGAAGTAGCAAGCCTTCAATCCCTAAAAAGAACCCATTCGTTCTGTGCAGTTCAAGCCTGGATCAGCCTGGATCACAGAGAGGAAAAACAATGGGTGGCATAATTCAAATGCCCACTTCTCATCTTGCCACTGATTCATGACTGTACTCCCATCTATAAATGAAATTTGCATTCTGATCTAGGTAAGAACAATTTACTTGAATTTTTGAGCTGTGCACAAAACATAGCACTCTACATATACCAAACTTGAAATGGGGAATTTTCCTTACTATCTTTTATTGAAAACCTCTGATAATCAACCTAATTCAATGAATATCTTACACTCATGTAGCAAATGATAATATTTAGCCAAAAACTGCATTCAAGAAAATTATTTGGTGGTAACTTTTAGAATTAAATGGTAAATAGTGTAATGCTTCTTGCCTGACTGCTGACTCAAAACTGATATTTATAATGATCCATTGTTTAATCAATAAGAGCTTCTCCCACCATATGTAAGTAAATTGAAGGAATGGCCTCTTTTACAATTATAGTTTATTTCTAATTAAAAATAAAGCATTACTTTGTATTAACGCCTGTTAATCTTTTTCACATTTTTAATGATTACTCTTATGCAATAATGAATATTTCCTGATCATGAGTCAATTAAACTCAAGACCCATCGCCAGGTCTCAACATCAAAACACAGAGAGAACTATGTGGAGAAATTCAGAGACAACAGAAGTCTCATGCAGTCCAATGGACAGGGTCAAGAAGCAAGGCATTTCTCCAAGAATGTTCCAGGTATAGACTGAATTATCTCTCCAGAGGCCATATACCAACTGCCTAAGCCCCAATTTAGGTACTTGAACACAGGGACTTTAAATAAATTACTAACACTGGATAGAGATTTAAGATTGAGGTGCTAATTCAGGAAGGCTGTGTCCTTGTCTGCTCAAGTGAACACAGAAAGATCACATGAGACACATGAGAAAAGGGCTGTTGTCAACAAGAAAGAGAACCTTTCCTGGGGACTTCCAGCCCCCTAACCCTGAAAACAATGAATTTATATCATTTTGTCACATCATTATGGCATTTTGTTCCAGAACATTGAATAAATTAATTCAGCCACTTCAATCCTCTCCCCTTTTAAAATATTTATTTATTTTTATTGGAAAAGTGGATATACAGAGGAGGAGAGACAGAGAGGAAGATCTTCCATCCGATGATTCACTCCCCAAGTGAGTGCAACGGCTGGAGCTGAGCCAATCTGAAGCCAGGAGCCAGGAGCTCTTCCAGGTCTCCCACTTGGGTGCAGGGTCCCAAGACTTTGGGCCATCCTCGACTGCTTTCCCAGGCCACAAGCAGGAAGCTGGATGGGAAGCAGGGCTGCCAGGATTAGAACCGGCACCCATATGGGATCCTGGTGCATGCTAGGCAAGAACCTTAACCACTATGGTATCGGGCCAAGCTGGTCTCTCCTTTTTTTTATTCCCCTTTCCTACTTCCTCTTTTCCTCCTCCTCCTTCCCTCCCTTGTTTTCCTCTTTGTTTCCTTAACTTCCTTATTTCTTTCACACTACCTTGCAAGAGTCTATTTTTTATTTATCTTCTTTGATCTCTAGTCCCTATTTCCCTTTCCTTTTAATTTCCCTCCAAACTGCGCTTATTTTTTTATCCTTTCTGTTTCTGTATATACCTGTGTGTATGAAATATGCATTTGTTTGTGTGGTTAAATACACGTGAGTAACCACATATGCCACTATATACTAGAAATCTTATTTCCTGCTCTCCTCATTCTTCTCAGGGTTCAATTAAGTACTTGTCAACACCACATACACTAATCAAAAACTGTAGGACCCTCAAGGTCATTGTCTCTTTGTGTCTCTATTTCTCCCAGGGATTAAGAGATTGCCTCCAGCATCACAAACAGTGCTTCAAGCAACATCCTCACTTGTGTCCATGTATGGTTTGTCACAGAATGGAACTCCCAATTATTCGGCAACCTTTATATAAGTTGATTAGCTATCAACAAGTAGCTTCAGTGTGGCTAATGCTGCTAAAATTCAACCAGTAGTCCCTTAGTAGTATGCCAGTATTTCCTCCTGCTAGCAACATTCAGCAACATCAGCTCTTGCTTTATCTATCCAACAGGTCTTTCGGGATATCTCATTGTTACTTTACTTTGCGTTTGTCTAATTACTAATGAGCTTGAACGTCTCTTCTGTAACTTTATTAGTCCTTTGAGTTTCCTCATCTATGAATTGCCTGTACATACATCCTTAGAACGTTTTTCATTTGGGTATCATGTCTACTTCCTGTTTGGTCCTATGAGGCTCACATAAATTCCAGCTATTACTCTCAAAGGTGTCCAACATCAAATAAAAATCTTTAATGTGATGTAACCAAACTCAGCAATTTTCCACCTCATGATTCTGATGTATTGCAGTTTTCCACCATTAGAGTGCCAACATATTCTTCTATATAATTTTGTTTGCTTTATTATTGTAGATTTAGATTATTGCTCTATCTGGAGTCCTCATTGTGTCATTTTAGTTTTCCTTATATAATTAAAGAGTTTTTTCAGTATCATAAATGAAATAGTATGTATCCTTTTTCTACCAACATTTGAACTCGCTGTATTATACATTAATTTTCCACCTTATCCTGAATCTGCTTGTGAAATTTCTTATTTTTTTTGTCATTTTGTTGTTTTTCTTTGCAACAGATTTTGTAACTATTAATTTTATATGGCAGTATCTAATAAGACAAATCAGCTATCTGTGTTTTTTAAAACACACTTGACCCTACATAGGTGCTCATTCTGCAATACAAGTTTTAAAGTAAGTGTAAGTGCCTTTTCAGTTTATTCAAGGAATTACATGCTTGTATTTTTTTAAAAAAAAGATTTATATTGGAAAGGCGGATATACAGAGAGGAGAGACAGAGAGGAAGATCTTCCGTCCGATGATTCACTCCCCAAGTGAGCACAACGGCCGATGCTATGCCCATCCGAAGCCAGGAGCCTCTTCCGGGTCTCCCACGCGGGTGCAGGGTCCCAAAGCTTTGGGCCGTCCTCTGCTGCTTTCCCGGGCCACAGGCAGGGAGCTGGAAGGGAAGTGGAGCTGCCGGGATAGAACCGGTGCCCATATGGGATCCCGGGCGTGCAAGGTGACGACCTTAACCACTTGCGCCACGGCACCGGGCCCATGCTTGTATTTCTAAGGTTTGTATTTCTAAGGTGATGTCCCTTATATGGTATTTTTACTGTTGATAATACATATAATCGTTCTTACCTTTTCCATATATGTTTTCTACTAGATTTAAAATCAGGCTTTAAACATATATTTACATTTTATTTCTTCGGTAATTTTATTATAAAGATACAGAAACAGAGAAAGACACGGAGAGCTCTCCCAACTATTGATTCACTGCCCAAATGCCTGCAACAGCAAATACTGGATTAGGTTGAAATCAGGATCCTGGTACTCAATGGGGGTCTCCTGTGCAGGTGAGAGGACCCCAAATTCTTGAACCACCACATGCTGCTTCCCAGGGTGTGTACTAGGAGGAAGCTGGACTGAGAAGCAGAGCAATGACTCAAACCCTAGCACTGTATTCTGTGATACGTGTATCTCACACAGAATCTTATATTTTAACTTTTTAAAGCTCCTTTCTAATAGTTTTGCATTTGATTTTATTGGACTTCCCACAGAGAATTCATAACATATGCAATATCTTTTTTCATAATACATACTTATTCAATTCTTATTCCTGACATGTTGTATTGGCTAGAGCTTTCTAAAGAATATTGAATAATAATGATGGCATGAATCCTTGTCTTGTATCACTTTTAATGCAAATGGTTTGGGAATTTTTCCATTAAATATTATAGACATACTCAACCATATTAAAAGAGTATTCTATCATTAATTTACTAAGAGATTAAATAATAAATAGAATTCAAATATTGTTATGCATATTGTTTTTCATTAATATATGAAAGGGCAGTTCTTTTAATTTCATTGATTAATCTAATTGCTATTCTAGTAAGTTTCTTATTATTAAGTCAATCCTTCATTTCTGGAGTGAAATCAATGCAGACATCAGCTAGTATGCTTTATTATACTAGCAAATCCAATTTACTAATGTGTATTGTTTTTAAATTTCCTATAATTTTGATATAAATATTGATGCTTTATTAGGGTGATATAAAGGTCAGCAGTAAATAAAGACACATCTTTACTGTAACAAACACCCATCCAACTTTTCTTAAATGTGGAGATTTAGTATAAGATTTGTCATAATTAATATGGCTGCTCCTCATTCTATAACAATCTTATATTTGTACCTGTTAGAATTCTTTACTCTTTCCTTTCCTTTATGGAATTATCCTATAGTTACTTCAGTTTTTGAAAACATTATTCTAAAAGTGAGAAACAGAGATAAAGGGGCCTTTTCCAATTGCTGTCAACTCCCTAGATGGCCACAGTTGCCAGAACTGGGCCAGGCTGAAGCAAGGAGCTATGGACTTCAGCTGGTTCTCCACACAGGTGACAGGGGCCCAACATTTGGGCCATGTTCCACTGCTTT